CTGCCAGCCATAACTCTAAAATTATCCGGGAAAGTGTCTTCCATCTGCTAAAGATGATGGTAATAAAGAGTTATCCAATCCGACCTGTTCAGAATTCCGATGCAATCCCCCATCCCTTTGCCCTCCATCCTACTTCCGTCCGCCCTCTTTCTGCCGGAACTCCTCCCTCCCTTTGCCCTCCGTCTACCCTCCTTCCGTCTGACCTCCTTCCCCCTGTCAGGCCTCCACCTAACCTCCTTCCTCCCTCCTTCCTCCTCCTCTGTGCCGTCCTCCTCGCTTTGCGCAACATCTGCCTGACCTCCTGCCTCCCTCTGCCCAACCTCCTCCCTCCTTGCTACCCCCAGGCGACCTCAGCCTGACCTGCACCCTCTTTCCCCTCCCATCGACGGACCTCGTCTCTCCTCTGACCTTTTCCTCCTCCTGTCTCACCTCTTCCTTCATCCCTCCCTCTTTCCTCCGCCCTCCCTCCCCGTTCCTTCCTCCTTCCCCCCTTGTCGCTTGTCTGCCCTTCATAACGCCCAAACTTGGAACTGCATTTCGTGTTTTTGTTTTTCTGGTCGACTTAAGCACTGCACTCCGTTTTTCAATCCATGAATGCACACACACACACGCACACGCACACACACACACACACACACACACACACACACACACACACACACACACACACACACACACATTCTCTCTTTTTTGTTTGGATATTTCTTGTCGGTTTTGTTGATCATACACGGCCTAATTCTTTGCCCTGCTTTGGAGCATGGGCTGTTTGGATGTTTACGGGTGGACACGAGTTCTCTTTGGGGGGATGTATGTCTTGTTGGCCGGCGTGGAAGGCTTTCCCAGTTTTGTGGGCCGATGCGGAAGGCTCTCCGAGTTTTTTTCGGACCTTTGAGGGGGTCGGGTCAGTGCCTTCTTGCTGGAGTAGTCTTCTGTCTTAGGTAAGTTGCCTTCTGCCCTCATCCCCTTATGGACTTCGAAATATATATGTATACATAGGTCTATGTGCAAGTGTGCCGCTTTGGTGGCAGACGGGTGTGTGGGCACTTGACGCTGAAGCACACAAACGTGGCCAACCTTGCATTTTTTACTATTTTGTATTATTTTAATATTCTGCCTATATCTAACCATTTTGTTTTATGGATGGCTTGTGATGATTTGTGAAGGGAAAGAGA